TTCAAATTTAAAGCGATGATATCTAAAAGGGAAAATATGAGCATGGTGTAGGTGGGAGGCTTGAGCATTAAAATGGACAAATATCAGTGGGTCTTAGCTTTGTTCTAGAAGAGGGCTGTCAATCTCCTGGTCCATGGGCCAGATGCATCACGCACTGGCCACACCCATGCCCAGTTTAGCAAAGTGGGGGGAAAGTCCTGATATGTCACGTGATGCTGTTGTGATGATGTGAGTTTGACACCCCTGTTCTAGAAGAAACCTGTTACATTTAGCTTTGAAGGTGAATATAAACTGGCAACAAAAACTAAAATGATGACACAGAGAATCGTGTTCTTTATCATGCAACAAGGAAGATGATGATGAAGAAGAATAAAGTTTGAAGAAATCTGGCTTGATAATACAGTCAACTGCAGCTGCTTTAAGAGTCACTTAAGCTTTGATGAGGAATGTAGATTCTTCTAAGTAGCAGCAGCATTTTCCAGGTTTATGTGGAAACTTAAAGAAACATTGGACTTCTTCATTGAATGAATGGAGAAGAGCTCTACTTATATAACATCTGAAGTACTTCATCCAAACCATTTTTAAGCACGTACAACTTTAATGAATAGCCATCTGTCACGGATACAATAATCTGGATTCTGCACTGAGCGTTAATAATTGCTTTCAAGAATCTAAATGGCCTGTTCTAGTTCTATAATTCAGTACTTTATCCATCCAGGGATTTGCTAATCCCACAAAATTATTTGAAGTAAGGTTCCTACTTTGCATCGCCATGTTTTACTTTGTAATCTTGAAGTCACATTCTTTCCAAAGATGGATCAAATTCTGGGCCTGTAAAAAAAAACATTTTCTAGTGCTTCACAACAGTGAAGCATATAAAACATCAACAAGGTCCTGAGTACTCAATTAATAGCTAAGGCAATAGGTATGTCCTCTTTCTTTTCTTATTTTTAACTGCATTGAATGAGAAGCTGTTTCTGAAATTAGGTCAGATTTTAGAAGCCAATTTAATTTGGCAGAGGTGAGCAGTAATCTTAAAACATGAGCAAAAAGCATTCTCTCTAATTATACCAATCTTCTTGGAGGAATGAATTATGTCATCTTCTTAATGAATCTTAAATCTATTAAATAAACTTAATTTATATTTTCCTGAGATCTCCATATGACAAAAATGCTAGCAGGCTACATCTGAACTCTAGGTGGTGATTCTTGATTCTTACAAACACACCCAGAAATTGGGAAATTCCCCTATTAAGATAATCTGCTTGATACATTTTTTTGTATTTTTTTTGACAGTTTTTAAGAGAGGTCCAATCTTGTCACTCAAAATGTAACTATTTTTTCCTGGATAGCGTCCTTGATGTTGGGTTGTAAAGATTCTTCAGATATCTAAACAATCTTTCTGGCTCATAGAAAACCTAATCCGATAGATGGTTGAATCTACCTCCAGAAGAGAATCATCATTGCCACACTGAGTTTCAATAAACAAATGAAAACAAATGGAATTCTGAACAACCTTGCTGTAGAATTCCAAACATTTTGCCAGAATTTAGCAAGTTACTTGGGAAACTTTTTACTTCCTGAAAGTCCATCTATTAAATATTCAAGACTAAGAAAAAAATGGAATATGATATGTGAACATTAAAATGCATTTGTAAAGAGAGAATAAATTCAAAGGTTTTAGAAAAGCCCATTTTATAATTCTGTTCTTAATTCAATTGCTGTGTTCAACAAGGCATGTCTCAGTTAAAAAATATCACAGTTCTCAATGCCACAAGGAGGATATTTCACTTCCTGCTGATACTCAAAAAAAGGCTTTATTATAATTGGTTAATCACAAAAAGACATTTAAAAATATCATTTATTTACCTAGATTCCAAATGTCTTTGACTTTTCAATTCATTTGAACTGGCCTGTTAAGAAATTGTTTGACTTGCATATGCAACAATGTTTGAATTGTGGCCTTAAGCAACTGTATTTTATATAGTTCAATCTTTCTAGAATAGATTTAAAATTGTTTTTAAGTGGACTTTTGATTCGGATGTAAGTTTCACAGGGGTTTACTTTCAAGTAAAAATCATAGGATTGTATCTTAAAATTACATGCTGTTATATAGAAATTATCTTTCTTCCAATTTAATGCTTTCAGGTGTACTGGCTTCCACTTCCCATTTAACCCATCTTCCTTGGCTGAGTTAGCCAATAGCCATGTTGCCTTGGCTTGATGGAGAAACTTATGACACTTTATGCCTTAGCTCGCCCAGTTCAGTTTTTGATGGAGAAATAAGAAGCATTCTGAAATCCATAACACAACATATTTCTTTCTCCTGTTAATATGTAAAATAAATAGATTTTGCAGATTCCATAGATTTTCATTTATCTTTGAGATGTTTTGAAGCTTTGCCAAGAGACTTTTAGAGCAATTCTTGTTCATATGCAAACTACAGAGTATGAATAAGCAAGATAAAATAGATTCTTCCTGTAAATTATGGATTTCTGTCAAGACTTGCTAAAACCATTTACAGGATTATACAGCTTGTTCATTTTGTACACAAAACAATATAAATAAACCAATGTGAAACATTGGTTCCTAGAGCAAAAGTTTTTTCAGATATATTTTAGAATATTAATATATGTAAATATAACTGGTTAAAATTGTTTGTTTTTAAGTTCTCATTTTAAGGATGTGCTCATTAAATTAAATGCAACATGATATGTTGCTTTTGACCTAGATTAGATGGCTTTTCCTTTATATTCTTCTCTTCCACAGTTATACTCTACTCTGTCTGATATATACATAACACCTTGGTAGGAATGAATGTTTTCTTAAACAGGATAAAATTTAATTAAATGCTGTTTTTATAACAGCAAACATCTGGACAACCACTAGATTGTAGCAAAGAAATAGTTTTATTTATCTCATGCATGTCCAGTGCTTTGCTGGTAGCCCAGCTTTATAAGTCTAAATTGAGCACATCGCAAAAATGAAAGAAAACAACAAATAAACCCAGCAGGCTGAAAATATGAACAAGTTAAAAAGCAGCCGCCAATATAATAGAATGAAAACTAGCTGCAAAGAAATCATATGGGTGGAAAACTATGTAGACAGAAAGGTTACATAAAAAAACCTATGTAAACACAAAGATATTCATCTATCAACTTGAAACTAATGAAAAAGATGGTCAATGGAACTCCCACAATAATGATTTCCAATAATTAGATACTACCACTAAAGTGGCTCTGTCAAAGTGTGCATTAAATGTTGACAGTTTGTACAGATTAACATCCTGTCTATTTTGAAATCCATGCTGTTTAATGGTGAAAAATTGAACATAAACCAATTCAAGCATGTCCTTAAGAGTTTAAAACCCACATAAGTTGGAGATTAAGAAATAATTCAAACACATTCACATATGAGGATTTGGGAGAGCCCTATTCAGGCACTTAGTCCAGTGTTTTCAACCTCAGCAACAAAGATTTGTGGACCTCAACTCCCAGAATTCCTCAGCTGACATGCTGCCTTGTTGCCCTGTCACTTTTCATGCATTGGTTGGAAAAGCCTGAAAAGCCTCTTTATAGATCTAAATCAGATGGGGCAGAGCCATGAAGGCAGCCTACCTAAACTGGTTTTCCCATTTTCAAATAAACAAACCTTTTCTCCTTCTGACTGCAGGAATTCCTAAATTCCTCAAATGGAGAGTTGGGCACCAGGTCTTTCTTAAATCAATGTGAAAAACCTTCTTTGAATTTAAATGATGTGCATGTTCCCCCCCCCCCCAGTAATCAAAAACAATGGCAATTTTTGCTTGTTCCGGCAAGGGGGGGGGATCTAAAGCATATACTGGAAGTAAACAATTTGCCTGAAAAACATCTGTTGTCATGCAAAATGCTTTAGATTAACACAAGCAAATTAAACCTAAAAATAAATCAAATGCCTGTCTTTATGCTGTCAAAAATATAGCCTATTAGATAAGCTTCATTATTTTATCCAGTGAAAAACTGAAACAAACTCCAAAATTAGGCTATGATCTAAATTACCGAAAAGGAATTGCATCTCTTAAGTGGAGGAGATATGCTATATTTGCTACGATGAGAGATTTTTAAAGGCTTTGAGGACGTGTCTTGTGAAAATAACACACAAGTGGGCTAAACAACAAAAAAAGTAATTATGTCCATTTTTTTGTGCTGCTAACAGGATTTGTATTCATAAGAACATTCCCACAAGCAACTAAATATGTGGGAAAGGCATATCGAGAGCTCAACTGGATTGCCCCAGTCCTAGCCATATCAGTATTTTTATCAACCAAAAGCAAAGAATTTAGATTTCATTCTATATGGGAAGAACTGTTAACTCACATTTTCCAGTATCTGCTAAATCCTGAATCCTGTATGTGATAGTGGGTAAGTGAATGCTACTCTATTATCCTATTTTATACACTACTATATTCACATCAACCTGTGTATTGCACAACCATTATTGGGGTAGCTGCCTAAGGACACTAGATTGGCAATGACTATTTGACAGGGCCATGCAATGATTCAGGTTCAGTTCTATAAAGATGTTTTGAGCGTGCAGAACCCAACCATAGCTCCAATTTTCAAGTCTTAAAAGTAGTCAGCTAATTCGTGGGAACTTATTTTGAAATACCTTCTTGGAATCAAATCCAAAGTGCTACAAAGTTCTACTTTCTACATTGATCCAGACTTGACAGGGAGCATTATCTGCTTTGATAGATCAACTAGAACAAATCACAAAAATAAATGATAATGGATTCTCAGTAAGAATCCAAAATAATAAAGTGCACAGAAATTTAATTCTCTATCCAACATTGCTACAATAAGGGAACTTACAAGTTCACTGGGAAAGCACCCTAAATCAATATAAAAAATAATTCAAACTAGCTAATATGCATTGAGTTAATTATGAAACCAAAATCAACTATAATAAAATAAAGAAGTAAGAGTAGGCTTATTTCTTATTGATTAACTGAGCAAAGTATGGCCAATTGCTTGGCATTCCTGGAAGGGCTTTTGTCCTTTTAAATGAATGTAATAAGCTATAATATTCTTGAGGATTTTGCATTAGCCCATAATGGGCTGGCATTCATAGATCATCCTTCCCTTCCTATCACCACAGGCAATGAACAAGGAAGAAATTCAGAGATAGAAGAGTAGAGTTGGATCTTACCCAACTATTTGATTTCCCAGGTTTTTTAAGTCAAGGATGTGGTTGTATATAGGGAAAAAGACTCCTAATGCATTCTCTCTTTAAATTGTACATGCCACCATTAAATTACTATTTCAGACACTTTTCTCATTTTCTCCTTTAAAAGTATTCAAATTTCACTTAGTTTCCTCAAAGTCTTTTAGGCAACTAGAAGATGGTTTAACACACATACACACACACAAACAAACATATGCACACATGTTTTTCACTGGTTATGGTTGGGCTTTTTTAATGCACAAAATCAGTATTGTAAGAATTAAACGTTAGGATGGCAAAGAATAGAGTGTTTGCGAAGAAGGAAAAAGCAGGGAAAGGAAGGGAAAGGCAGGAACCATTCATAAGCTTGTGTCTCCATTTTGTTTGCACTCAGATAAAATACTCAGAGTCATATCCTCACTTTTGGATTGCACATTGAGCTCACTCCGTCTTGAGGCTTTCCGAGTTGCCCTGGAGAGCTTTCTCCGAAAAGTATCTCCAGCCAAAAAATATAAAATAGGATCCACGCAGCTGTTGAGACTCGCTAGGCCTCGAGTTACTTGGTAGGTAGCATAAACCCTGTTGTTAAACGCACACATTTCCGGAGTCTGAAAATCCAGCCTGGCGCGTAGATTCAAGTTTTTCATCACGTGGAAAGGAAGATAAGACACAGCAAATACTGCCAACACTATAATAACCAAATAAATGGATTTCCTCCTAAGCGGGGAATTGTCTAAATCTTTGTAAATCAGTGCTTTCACGATTAATCCATAGCAACCAAGGATCAGAATGAACGGGATGCAAAACAAGAAGACAGTGGTGCACATGCTGTAAATAAAATAGCTACGCAGGTAATCGTCTACTGTTGTATCATAGCAGGCCATGGTTTTGATTTTCCTTTCTTCAGTCCCAGAGTAAAAGAAGATGGGAGAAATTCCCACTACCACGACAAACCAGACCAGGGTGCTGATGTAAACAGCATTCTTTTTTTTCAGTCTCCCTAATGATTTCAAAGGATGCACCACACCAGTGTATCTGTGCACACTGATGCATGTGAGGAATAAGATGCTTCCATATAGGTTGACATGAAAGATAAATCTCTGCAGCTTGCACATGAAGTCTCCAAAGATCCAGTCCGTTTGATTGAAGTAGTAGAATATTAGGGCAGGGAGCGTCAGGACATACAAGAAGTCTGCGAGGGCCAAGTTGAACATGTAAACAGAGATGCCACTCCATGGCCTCATGTGGAAGACAAACATCCAGATGGCCACGCTGTTGCCTAGGAATCCAGTGATGAAGACTACAATGTAGACAGCTGGCAAGTAATAGAATTGAAAACCGGTTTTGGTCAAGGAACACTTGCTAGTGGCATTGCTGGTCACATTGCTAGCCAGTGCATGGGTTTCAGTCAAATTCAGGACAACCGAAATAAGGGCTTCAGTCATGGTGACACCAATGAATTCACATCAGTGGCTCTCAAGATCTAGAATCAGCAAGTGTCCCTAGAGGAAAGAAAGAAAGTATCTAAGCTATGTCAATAAAAGAAACAATGCAGCAAAACAGGCAGGAGAAATATCATACTCAATTTTCAGCAGATCTAGAAGCAGTATATTTATTTATATCCTGCTACAATCTAGTGACTTTTGATAGCTTACGTGATAGAAGAAAAATATTAAAACATTCACAGTATCTTTAAACTTAAAGATACTTAAAGAATTTAAATAACTAAATAATAATAAAATCTCTACGAGTTGGTTAATTGACAGGGCCATAAGTACTACATTTGCTTTTTTGGCAGGCCTATGTTCCTGCAGACCAGTTGAGATGCTTCAATTTACTGCCCAAATTTGAAGGTCGATATTATATTCTTTCTTAGAATATGATAGCTTCAATTTGTGAGTTATTTCTCCATATGCCCTACCACTTGTCACAAAATGTAACACAAGGATCTAGTCCTTTATAGACTGTTAAACTCAGTCAAGTATCAGTTTTTGCTAAAGCATCTTAAGGGTATTGCCAGATGAGGCTGTTATTCATACGATCACCCTGACTCATCCATGGAATTTTGCAGACCTCATTCCCCATTTGTAACCATCTTCCTCTCTGCCCACTACCACTGGTGCCTTCTCTTAAGAGGGGACAAAATCTATTTAAAGAGAAAAAAAGGTGGAAGACCTCTGCAATACTTTTTTGACTGGCATTAATAGCGTACAAAAAAAAACTGTCCATCTGGAAGAACCCTGCATTTTATATGCTGGAATTTCATATATCAGGAAGGCAGGTGGAAAGTAATGAACTTACTGAAAAATTCAGCCATTGAGAGTTCCTATGGTGTAAAAGATCTTCGGGGATCTTGACCTAACTGCTTCATCAAGACCCCACCCCACCCCACCCCTTCTACCATACTTGAAATCTAGCTGATCACTAGCAAGCACCCAAAACAAAATGCTTAGGCAAAAGACCAGTGGAATGGATACAGGCCAGGAAGAAAATATCTATCATTAGCTTTTAAAAGGTGTAAACTTGGCATTACTGTAATAGTGTGTAACATTTACTGATCAGAATTGCCATACGGTTGTTGGCAATTCTTCTCTCTCTTTCTCTCTGCATACATTTCCCCCATTCTAAACATGTATTGTTTAATGAAGTTACCTAGGAGATGCTTTCTCTATACAGATAAATCATGGAAGAGTTTTCAGTGCCTACTCTTTCAAAGAAAAATGAAGGGAAATGTATAACACAGACATCAAGGTCTTTAAATAATATACAAATAAACTTCTATATTTATTTAGATACCCATCCTAAATATATTTCATTATATTTTCATTCTTAACAACATCAGAGGAACCTCCTTTAATATATGACATAGCAGCAATCTCTTGGTGTTCTACTTTTTCTCTGCAAATGGCATTCTGTACCTGAAAATAGCCCAGAACCATTCTAATAAGAGGCTGTTGACAAACACAGTTGCCACAATCTGGTCTAATTCCTTTTCAAAGCCATGGATGATAGAAATCACAGCTACAGGTTGCCTCCATGCAATCTTCAAATTAAATGTAACTATCCTACAGTAAGTAAATATTTCAGTTCAATAATCTTTGGCTACTGAAGACAAGGGAAAGGAGGAATAAGAAATTGTTATTCAGGCAGCCTATGAATGACATTCCCCCCACCCCAAAAAAAGTAGTTTGGTTTCTTAAATTTCAGTTAAACAGATCATAAATGACTGAAGATAGTGGGAAACTTCTTAAAATTATATGGGTGGTGGCAGAAAAGGGGAGAGAATCCAGATACCCCCTACCCACAAGAAACTAATTATTGGTATTCCATGGGAAGCTGAAGAATTACACAGTCTAAAAAAGCTGGAGCAGGTGGTCAAGAAAACTACAGGGAGGAAAGGTTAAGCTGCATAGAAATGAAGAGAGAATCAGACAACAAGGTAGCTGTAGCAAGACAACTGAAATGAAGAAAACTCCGTTGTGCATCCTTAGACATCTATGGCTGTGTTCCCCGGGCTGGCACTCCAGCTCCTCAAAAACTATGAAACCATAGCTTTATGTGTCCCTAAGTGTCCCTAACAAACCACAATATCTGTGCTCACATAACATGCCAAGGCATAATCATATCTGTTGGGTCATCATTTTCAACCATGATTCATGGGCTTAGCAGGCTGTGATATCAACATCTGTGAGGTTACGTAGAAGATCTGTACCCACTTTAAGGGCAGCAAAAAAAAAAAAATAACACCTCAAGGTGGCTTAACTTTTCTTGCTTCTATGCCTATTAAACACACACACCACACAAACACAGGCACACAAGGCCTTCACCACCCTTTACCCCTGCACGGCAGCTCCTCCCTCCGCCCTATAGGCACACAACACGGAAGTCTCCAGTCAACAAAATGGGTTCATCTCCAGACAAAAGCTCAGCCCCGGATTGCAAGTCGAGCACGAGGGCCCGCATAGCTCCGGGGCATGCACAGAATGCTTCTTCTGCCTAGTCTCTTTCTTCCGCCGTCTTTTCCTTCCAGCCTCGGTTTGGACTGCGCTCCTCTGTGGTCTCATTTTGGCAAATCCACTCCGTCCCTTCTAATCGACATTTTTTACTTCCGAGTTAAGAATTCAGCGCAGGGGTGTCAGCCAAAAACAAAAAAACAAAACAAAAAACCACAAAACCACAAAACCCTCAACCATCGCTTTGGCCACCGTTAGCTCCATGCCCTGTTTTTCAACCGGATTACGAGGAGGGGGGCTTACCCCCTTCTGAATGAAACACGCGCGCCAGGAAGGGTGGGGGGAAGGAGGATGCCCCCACAGAGAGAGCTCGGCGCCTAGCATGGCTCGCATCTCAGTTACTTTGTCAGACCAACTGTCCGAGGGTCACCAAAAATGACAAGCGCCGCGGCAGAGGAAACGAAGCCGTAGATCTCTTGGCTCGGGCAAAGTCTTAAGGCGGCGTTTTCCAGCGCTTGCAATAGGGCACTTTCGGAAAGAGATGCTCCCGCCGTTCCCTTTTTGCCTTTCGAGCCGGAAACTTTGCTCCGCGGTTACAGGACTTACCTTCCGGAGCGCCTCAACACGCTCGACCAGAGCGGGCAACGCGGTGCCTTGCCGCCGCTGTTAGCGCGGCTGTTGGTGGGGCTGCCACCGCGCCCGCCCTCGTCTCCTTCTCCTTCATGCCGCGGTTCCTTCTTCGCAGCTCCCGGGCGAGGCGGCGGGAGAAGCGGAAGGAGCCGGCGGCGCGAAACATGTGCCCGTCAGAGCCCCGAGCTTTGGGCTCCTTGCGGGGATTGCCGCCACATTCCCACACTGGCGAAGCGGGCAAAGAGCGTGCTGACGCGCGCTGCTCCGGCAGGCGGGCAGGCGAAGAAACGCAGGCGAGCCGCGAGAGGGAGCGGTAGCGGCAGCGGCTGAGGCGGCAGAGAAGAAGCCGCCTTCAGATAAAGGTTGGTTCCCGCCCCCTGAAGCTCTTCCCCGCGTGGGCAAAGGCAGATCTACTTTTTTCCTGCCGTGGAAGGCATGCCAAAAATAAACCAACTGGTGATTGTTACGGCTCAACGATATGCGGTGTGAGAGTGAGCTCAGTTCGATCCCAGGGAGCAAATAATATCAAATCAAGAGGATTCATACGTTTGTGGATCTGACCAGATTTTTGCACTGATGGATACATTAAGATATGATAACCTTTGTTGTCATTTTTTTTTCCTGTGAGTACACTGGCTCACATTAACAATGAAATTCTGTTGCTTGCTTTCAAAAGAATGTATATATCTACCCGTACACATACATAACACATATACACATGCTATATACATATAACCCTATTAAACACTGTCCATCTGGAATACACAGTGGAAAGAGGAAAGTTGAATTCACAAGGTTGATGCTCTATGGAACCAAACTGACTGAATCTTTCATAGTTGCCTTAACTAAAAACATTCTGATGTCTTTGAGAAAGGAGCATTGCTTGGGTCTGGCTTGCTGTGAAAACTTAAAAGGGCCTTTTGCACTTGCCTTGATTACAGTATAAATTAGCAACCCTACCACAACAATTGGTTGGAGAGCAAACAGAGTTCCTCAGAAATTATTTCCATATCACGCTTGTGTTTGTATTCAAATTCGCAATGCAGTTTCATCAGTTCATTGACTGATAGGAATGTTTCAATTAATGAATTAATTGCTGAAAGCAGTTTGGTAGAGGAATTAGATGCTACTCTTCATTAATCTGCATTACGTATTCTAAATGTCTGTTGTCTATGGAGATTCTCAGTCATCCAGGTCATGGTTGTCCCAAAGGAGCTGAAGAAGCTTCTTGGATGAGAAGCGAAATGTCTTCAGATAAAAACCAAACAGTCCAGTTGCCTCTTGAAAAAGCACCTTGAGGATAAATGTCTGTTGAAAATCTAAAACACTGAAGAGAGAGAAAAAAATATTCTGAAGAGGTATTTCCTTCCTATGAATAATAATTAAAAAAAATGTTGCTTTTGGAATGATACATGCTATGATACAAAGTATCTAAACATATATAATCTCCCTCCCTGGAATCTCCACATAAATATGTACACACACTAGACACGCACAAAAAGACCTTTTGCCTCTTCTCTGTGAATCAGATGATAATCCAAAGAAACAGCATCTTTTCCTACAGGCATATGAAGAAAAGCAGGAGTATTCTGAAGCATAGCATCCTTTTTAACTGAATGCTGAAAGTTAGACATGGGGACATTCCTTAAAAGCCGGTATCAGTGTATATCCTTCTATATATGTTAGCCAGGTATAGCACTTAGGCATGCTTGCTTCATTTAAAAAGAGTCAGCCTGATTAATACTTGGGTAGGAAACTACCTATTATTTTTTTGTTGGGTTTTCTTTGTGGGGTGAATACCTTTGAATCAGAGTTGGACTTCTGGTCATTGCCTAGACTAATGTCTGCCCTTGAAAAAGGTTTTCAGAAGTAGTGTGCCATTGCCTGCCTCCTAGGGCTGAGAGAGAGTAGTTGGACCAAAGCCATCTAGCCAACTTTGTGTTTAAGATTGCACTAAAATTCATGTTCTCCTGATTTCTAGCCTAATGCCTTAAACCCTACACCAAACTGGGTCTCTGGGAATTTGAAAAGATATCTTGGAAAAAGGCTGTGGCAAGACATGTTCCTATTGTAGCAAAAAACTGCATGGATGAAGCCATGAAAATGTCATAATTTCCTTCCTTCTTTCCCTCCCTCCCTCTTTCTTTCTTTCTTTCTTTCTTTCTTTCTTTCTTTCTTTCTTTCTTTCCTTCTTTCCTTCCTTCCTTCCTTCCTTCCTTCCTTCCTTCCTTCCTTCCTTCCTTCTTTCTTTCTCTTCCTTTCCTCCACTCCCATCCTCTTCCTTTCCCGTCCTGTCCCCCCTTTCCCTCCCTTTCTCCTCCCATACCCTCCCTTTCCTTCACATTTTTCACATTTTTTTCCCTTTCCTCTTCCTTCCCTCTCCTTCCCCTATCCACTCTCCATATTGTTGCCAGGAAAATTGCATAGACAAGTTCAGAAAGCAAACTCAACTTGGCAGGGATTTTTTTATTATTATTGCATAGGCTTTAATACAGCAGGCAAACATTTCTAAAAGGACAGTAGTGGTGAACACTCTGATCCGGAACCTTTTTTTTCAAAGCATGAAACTATGAGAGCAAATATTCTACCCTTGAACAAGGACACTTGTTAGAATCTGATTTTATGTGTCAAAAATGACCCTGTATACACAAAATAAATCCAGATTTTATCCACCAAGTACTTTATTCTTTCGTCCACTGCTCATGTTTGCTTAATTCCTAAAGCCATTGCTTTCTGTTTGAATTCTTCCTAGCAGCAGCAGCAGCAGCAGCAGCAGTCATACTTTCAATTACCTCTGTGTTGAATGCTTCAAAAAGTAAATTAAGATGACATGAAATATTTCATTTCAGAAGCTTAACCCTCCAAAAATGGCTAAAGATTTATTGTACTAACTACAATTTTCATACATATTTATGGGATTAGGAATATTTAACTCCATAACCACTACCTTATGCCATTCTGATTTCCGAATGGCTTCTGGTGCTATTCCCAGATCTAGTAGCCCTTGAACTGCTTATTCTGACTGACAGCAGGCCTCTAAGATACCTTGTGGCTGCATTCCTGTACTCTGCAAATTTTGTTCCTTGAGATTTTTTAAATGGAAAGGGCAAGCATTGAAAGTACCATTTCTGCATGCAAGACACATTCCCTGCCACTGAGCTCTCGGCCTCTCCTGTAAGCAAATGAAGGCTACTGTTTATCTGCTACATTATTAGCATGCTGTACTAGGGAAGCTAATAGATAAGTGAAAGAGCTGTAGATTAATAAGCCTCTGAACCTTCCTCTTCTGTGAAAGAATGAGATAAGACTTCAGCATTTTTTTTTCAATCACGATTGCCCTCGTCATTATCTATAAAGTCCAAATCATCATCTTCATCAATAACAATAACAACAATATTATCATCATCCTGATAATATGACTGGGAGATGTTTTAAGGATTGCTGAAATTATCCATGCAATGGATTTCTACTGGAATTTAAGAGGCTATCAAATATATATATATATTGCATTATTATGTGCATTGTACACAGAAAATCCATAATTGTTCAGGTGAAGTTAAAAAAGGACCAGATCCTGAAGAGATTCTTCTAGTCAAGTTGTTTTGAACATTGAGCACTCAGGTATATGTGGAGACACCAGACCTTTCGGGCCTCAGGGACCACTAAATTCATAATTTTAAATTCCACAAACCACTAATATCATCTGCCAAATGAGCAGTTGGGTCGGCATGGCTAGGTAGTTGTGTGACTGGGTGGGCATGGCCAACTCAATGTCACTCATGACGAGAGGTGCCATGCCAGCCTATACTCACCCCTCCCCTTCTAGCCACTCCTCATCTTCCTGGCAAGGCTCCTTAGGGCCCCAACAGGAAGCCATTGTTGGAGAGAAAGAGTTGCAAAACAGCTGGCTCAGTTCAAATTGGATCTGACCGAGAAGGAGGCTCAGCAGAAGCATCTCAATGAGGACTACGAGCATAGGCTTTCCAAGCAAAGGGAAGACCTACAGGAGTGCAAGGCCAGGTACAAGCATCTGGGGGCTCAGAGAGCTGAGATGGTCAGCCAGTTTCAGGCCATATGCAGTCCCACTGAAACAAGGCCCTATGGCTCTTTGCAAGCAGCGGCACTCCTTTCCAGCCTTCACCCAAAGGCCCCACACTAGGAGGCTGAAGCAGACCCCAAGTTGGAATTTCTGCCCCTCCAACCCACACAAAAATACTCTGAAGGGGGAGACTCTCTGCAGCATCTCAAATGTTCATTGCATGTATCTGGCCCAGGGATCATAGTTTGATTTAGTGCAATATAAAAATGCAAACAATATTTCTGCAGACCACCAATATTTTTTCATGAACCACCAATGGTCCAGTTTGCACTGCATTTAGTTTTTGAAAAATGATGTCAAAGAAGAGATGTTTGATGGACTGGTAAGTTAGCACTTAGACTTATATACCGCTTTATAGTGCTTTATAGCCCTCTCTAAGCAGTTTACAGAGTCAGCATATTTCCCCCAACAGTAATCTGGGTCCTCATTTTACCCACCTCGAAAGGATGAGTCAATCTTGAGCCTGGTGAGGTTCGAACTGCCAAACTGCAGTCAGCCAGCAGTCAGCAGAAGTAGCCTGCAGTACTGCATTCTAACCACTGTGCCACCACAGCTCATGTTCTTGTGCATAAATATGTATGTATGTACATACATATGTATGAATGTGGCAGTCAAGGAGTGTGTATGTGAAAGCCCTATTTAGATCAACCTTGCACCAGCCTGTCTAGCTTTCCAGGATATGCATATCTCCCAAATGGCATCTTCCCATTGACCATTTTCAGATTGGAAATTTACACAGCCAAGGAAACTTCAGAGGCATATGAACATAAATCATATAAAGTCGAACACTGGCATTTGAACACCTGTCACCTGTGAAAATGTAGCAAATTTAAAATACCTTGTCAAAGTAAATTAAAAAGAAATTCCCAAACACCATAAGAATAAAGAAGAGAAAAGGAGCCTATTTTTCAGGCAAATAAAATATATGAGAAACGCAAAGCACATTTTGGCACAGCATATACAGAATTGAAAGGGGCTTCAGAAGGCTTCTGGGCTCTGAACACTGTTGGGGATACAGGGAGAATACAGTTGCAATATTTTCCAGTGAACAACTGCTCAGCTGCTGTTTAAAGTACCTACTCCTAAAAGTAGTCTATCAGTTGTCACTCAAGATAAATTCTAATCTTAGTTGTTTGC